CCGCCACGGCCGCGACGGCGGGGCTGCCCGTCAGGCGGGCAGCGTCTGGGAGCGGCAAGGAGGGCAGGGCTGTGTCTGGGGGCGGGCTGCCTCCCCAGCCGCCACCGGCGTGCGCGCTGTGGCCGAAGCGGCGGCTTGTGAGGCGGGACGCGAGCCTCATCTCATCCGGCACGTCGTTGGGGGCGGCGGTCGGATTTGCACCCGCGGCCCGGGTCGACAGTGGGCAGCAGCAGCAGCAGAGGCCCCCGCCGGCCGAGGCGGCGCCGGCACGCGGCGGCGCAGGCGCGGACGGCCCTGGTGGCGCACAGCAAGGCAGCGCCTCACAGCCGAGCAGCGGCGGCGGCGGCGGCGGCGATACGGCGGCAGGGCCGGCGAGTGAATGGGCGGCAGGGGGCGGGGCCGCGGAAGTGACGGAAGCGGCGCTCAACGGCGGCCGCCGAAACCCGTCCGCGGCGCGGCTGCTGGTCGTGTGCAGCAAGTACGAGACCGGCTACGACGACCCCCGGCTGGCGATGATGTTCGTCGACAGGCCCCTCGCAGGTGAGGGCGGGGGCCGGCAGACGACGCAGCACAGCACGCGCTTCCTGCGAGCCGCCGCCCAGGGGCACACGGCCGCACGACTGGCGCGCCCCGGAGGGCTGCGCGCCGCGCGCCAGCTCGCAGCCGCTTCGACAAGCCTGTGCGCCCAGCGACCTCCCGCGCCCCCGGCCCGCTTCCTAAGTCGTCCCCCTGTCCCGCTGCCCCGAAAAAGACCTAACAAGCTCCGCGCTTGCCCTCTCCCCACTCTCTGCCATAACCTCACCACCGCACACACAGGGGCGCGCGCCGTGCAGGTCTTGGGGCGCCTCTCGCGCCCCGCGCCGCGCCTCGGCAAGCCGCTGCCGCAGGTTGTTGACTTTGTGAATTCTGCTGAGGACCTGCGAGATGCTGTTGCCGAGTTTTACCTGGAGACGACGCACTGCACGGGTGAGAGGGTCGGACGCGCGCGGGCTCGTGTGTATATGTGTGCGTGTGTGCGTGCGTGTGTGTGTGAGTGTGTGTGTGTGTGAGTGTGAGTGTGTGTGTTTGTGTGTGTGTGTGTGTGTGTGCACGCGCGTGCGTGAGTGTGTGTGGATGAGTAGACACAGGATTGTTGGGTTTTGCTGAGACGTTGCACAATGCAGGAGAGATGCGGGTGAGTGCGTAGGCGCTGTGCTGAGCTGTGCTGTGCAGTTCGGCCGAGGATGCGATTGGTGAAACATGTGCCTGCAGACAGCACATTGCAAGGCTTGGGGGGCAGGTGACACTTGCTGGGGGGTGCAGGTTTTCTGTTCTCACCGTGACTTTGCCTTGGTTGCTGTGTTCAGGGCAGGGTGGAATAGGCATCCTACGTTGAACGTTGGGATTATACATCCCAATGTTGACAAATTGTCAACATTGAGATGTATAATCCCAACGTTCAATCACCGGCAGACTGCTGGAACTGCGCAGGTTTGCGCAATTTGTGGAGGTCCCTTTTGCTTTCCTGACTCACCCTCTCTGCCGCAAACCATCCCCCGCGCAGCCAAGGCGGCCAGGCGCGCGCGCCAGCTGCGGCAGCTTGAGGCCTGCGTGGCGCGCATACTCGAGCGCCTGCAGGCCGCCGCGGCGCGCGAGGGCCCCATGGCTGGCGGCCTGGCTGGCATGAGCGCCGGCGCCGCGGCGGCGGCGGCGGCGCGGCGGCTGGGGCCAGAGGCGGTGCGGCGGTTGGAGGAGGATGTGTCGGCTTATGTGGCGCTGTGCGGCATGCTCAGGTGTGGTTGGAGTGGGAGATTGCACATGCAGAATGTAGTGTGGTGTGTGCGTGAGAGAGTGCGGGAGAGAATGTGTGTTTGTGTTTGCACATGTGAGAGACAGAGTGTATATGCGTGTAAGAGAGAGAGATAGTGTGTGTGTCCACGCATTCGTGTGTGTGTGTGTGTGTGAGTGATCGTGTGTGTGTGTGTGTGTGTGTGTGTGTGTGTGTGTGTGCGTGCATGTGTGCGTGTGTGTGTATGCATGTGCACGAGCGTGCGTGTGTGCGTGCATGCATGCGTCAGCGCATGCAATGTGCCATAGAATGGCTCTACTGCGTATTCGAATGCATGTGGACCTCTTGCGCGCTCCTGGCTGCTCGACTTGCCTCCTGTGTAGCGGCGCACGCTTCATTGATTGCTCTCCTGCCAACCGGCAATCTCTCCCAAACCAACGGCTCTTGTGGTGATGGAATGACATATGCTTGATCACACGACGCACCACCTCATCCCTCACAGATCAGACTGCCTCGAGCTGCCCCTGCCGTTCGCGTCCGCCTTGGCCGGCAGCCTCAACGACGCGCGCCGCCGCGCTGAGCGCGCCGCCGCGAGCGGGCGCTTTGCCTGGATGGAGCAGCTGATGTCATCTGGCGCCGCATCGCCGCCTGCTGGAGAGAAAGACGCGGAGGACGTGAGTGGAGGCGGCGGCAGTGGCGGGGAGGTGAAAGAACAGCGGCAGCAGCAGGGGCAGGAACAGGGGCAGAGCCAACAGCAGGAACAGCACCAGCAGCAGCAGCAGCAGCAGCAGCAGCAGCAGCAGTCGGAAGGGCAGCAGCAGCGGCAGGAGGCACGGGCCCTGGCCGCCAGGGGCCTGGGCGTGCAAGTGAATGTGCGCCAACTGGAGGAGACCTTTTGCGGCGCCATCAGCATGCACACGGCGGCCGCCGCGGGCGCGCTCGGGGGCGCGGCGCTGGGCGGGAGCCTGCGCCCGCTGCCACGTGATGCAGCCGGCCCAGCCCGCCGCACCGCGGCGGCGGCAAAGCGCCGCGGGGCCATCAAGGACGGCCCGGAGGCGGCGGTCGAGGCGGGCCGGCCGCTGCGTGAGGTCATCGCCGCGGCCAACGCCCGGCTGCGCGGCTGGGCGGAGCGGCGCGCGGCGGCGGGCCTCGGGCAGCTGTGCTCCGCGCTTGAGCGCGCCGCGGGCGGCCCGGCAACCAGCAGCGCAGCCGAGGCCGGCGCCGCCCCGGCGGGCGGGGACGCGTGCGTGCTGCTGGCGCTGCTGCGGCGGCTGCTGCTGTGGCCGGTGACGGCAGAACTACTCAAGTTGACAGCGGCGGGCAAGCGCGTGGCGGCGCTGAGGCGGCACGCGAACCCTCAGGTGTCGTCGCTGGCTGCAGAGGTCGTGGCCTGCTGGCGGGCCCAGGTCGAGGCGGCCGCCGCCGCGCAGCGTCGGCGGCGCGAGCGCGCGGCGTCCGGCGACGCCGCGGCCGGGCAGGAGCGGGGGCCTGCTGCAGGGGCGGCGGGGAGGCGAGCGATTGCGGCAGCTGCTGATGCCAAGGCGGCGACGAGGGGGGCTTCAGCCGGCGACGCAGCGTTGCGGTCAAAGGCGCTGCGGCTGCTGGTCAACTCCCTGGAAGAGCACTGCCGCAGCGCAGCCGAGCGGCAGCAGCAAGATGGGGCAGCGGCCCGGGCGGCCGCGGCCAAAGGAGAGCTGTCTTCAGAGAAGAGAGAGCGCATCACGTTGCTGGCAGAGCAACTAGAGGCTGCCCTGCACAAAGTGGCGCTTGACAGCAGCAGCGGCGGCGGAGGGGGCGGCGGAGGAGCGCTCGACGGGTGGCGGGCGGCGTACTCTGCGCGCGTCAAGGCGGTCTCCGCCGCGCTGCGCCACGCAGACGGCGTCGCCGCGCCGCTGCTCTCCGGCGACGCCGCCCCCGAGGCCGTCGCGCGCATGGGCAGCGACGCGCTCGCGCCCGCCGGGGCGCGCGCGCTCGCCGAGGCGCGGGCCGCGCGCGCGCGGCGGCAGGAGGAGGCGTGGGAGCGGCTGATGGCTGAGGGCGGGGTGGGGGGTGGGGGAACGCACGTGAGCTACGACAGGGAATGCCCCGCGTGCCGCGCGCGGCGCGCGCAGGTGCACGTCGTGCTGAGCGGCGGCACGTATGCTATCGAGCGCTTCGAATTCCAGAAGTGCTGCTGCCTGGACTGCGGGCACACGTGGCGCGTCGACCTGTGATGCGGGCCTGCGTTTTTGGCGTTTTTTCTGATGGGGCCCGGCTCCCCGCCTGGGGTTGCTGCGGCATGTACACAATCCGCTGCAGCTTTGTGCGCCGTCCCATGAGGGCAGTCAGAGTTCTGCGCAGCTTTCAGCCTGCTGAGGACGGAGCGCTCCTGAGCAAGGAGCCTGCACATCTTAACTTGAGAGGGCCTTCATTACTTGAAAAGAGCGAGTAGCGGGCAGGGGCGCAAGCGTATGCCATTTCAGCATGAGGTTATCGCGCGTGTGGCCCGGGTGGTGGTCCAGAGATGTGACATGCGGTATTGTTTCGTCGCTCTGTGACTGTGAGTCCTGTTTTACCGAGCCAGGACAGGGCCTGCAGGCATGCTACGTGTTTGGAACCGCCGTGAACCCGCAGGGATGCACAGCTTTTGCAGGGGTTGATCCACAAGACCGGCAGTGCAGCTTTGTGCGGGTGGCGACCTGACACTTCGTGGTCATGGTCAACTTGCCAGATTGACCATCTGAATGGCTGCAATCCATGCGGCGGATTTCAAATCCATAATATTTGAATATATACTCAAAGATTCAGAGCAGGCCAATCAACGATTCAGAGCGTAGATACAGTTTGCGGACAGGGAGTGATCTCATCGGTTGAGACCACCCAGCGCCTCAGCAAGCATGCAGGCCTCCAAAGCCCTTGTTAGGTGCGTCTATTTGCCTTGACAGCATAAGATGAGGCAGTGGCGACTCTCGTGCCCGTGCCAGATTCTTGTGGCGGAGGGAGGAGCCTTCTTTGACGGCATCCACGCTCATTGGCCGCGTTTCTGACCCAAAACGCATATCCAAAGCGTCTCCCCGTGCTCGCGACCGTGCCCATCACTCGACCTCCGCACAGAAGGGCGTTTTCGGCCGCGGCTGCCCCTTGCCGCCCAGCTGCAGCCGCGCGCCGCACGCTGTGCGTCACCGCTTCCCAGGCCAAGGCGGCGGAGGGGGACTTTGTGACCGTGCACTACACCGGGACCCTCGACGATGGTGGGTTGCTGACGCTGCCCCAGCTGCAGGCATGATCTTCACTGCGTTTACGACCCCCATGCGGAGTGGCACCCCCTCTCCCCTGCACGATGTACATGAGCGCGTCGCCGAAGGCCGGGTCCCGCCATCCCCCCCAGGCTCTGTGTTCGACAGCAGCCGCCAGGACGGCCGCGCTCCCTTGGAGTTCCAGATCGGCGCCGGCCGCGTGATCAAGGCGCGCGCCTTGGAACCTCGGACAAGCCGAGGGGGGGGGGGTGGGGGGGCGCTGGCAGGGGCGCATATGAGGCGGGGCGTGTTCAGGGCGGAGCGTGCGCGGAGCCTCTCTAACGGGAGGCGGGATGGGCGCATGCTGAACGCTTTCTGTCCCAGCGGTCTTTGCTGCCGCGCAATTTGCCGTCCCCTCCTGTCCCCTATCTTTGTGCCAACGGAACCCGCCCCCCACCAATCCACACCCCTGCTCTCCCACTGCATGACCACAGGGCTTCGACAAGGCCGTGACAGGCCTGGCTGTGGGCGAGACCCGGAAGGTGCGGCGCCCACATGCCACCCGCGCTTCCCAGGGCCTGGCTTCCCCAGCTGGGGTGATTGGCCGCAGCCATAATTCCTCCGACTATCGGCCGCGCGCAGACCCCTGGAGTTCGCGCCTCTGGGGGGCCTGCTCTGGCCACCCCGGGCCGCTGTCTCCACCTGACCAACAGTGCAGCTGCTCGGCGCGTCAGCGTCGACCTGGGCCGCCGATGTTGGTGTTGGGTTGTTTGACATATTCCTTTGTGTCTGCAGGTGCGGCTGACGCCTGAGGAGGGCTATGGAGAGCGCGACCCCGAAGCCGTCATCACGGTGCCTGCTGGTGAGACTGGATGTTCATAGGTCCAATCCCCGGCCACCGCCTTCAACACGCCCCCTTCCGCCACACCCTGTATGCAGCAATCTCCGTGCGAACCTCCCCCTGCTCACTCCCACAGCCCACTCTTCCCTCTTCCACCCCAAAAACACCTACACATACCTACACACACGCACACACACACACACACACAAATTGGCCGTCCCCACCCCCTCCACCTCAGACCGCGCGCCCAAGGGCCTGAGTGAGGGCGACCGCGTGGGCCTGAGCAATGGCATGCAGGCGGTGGTGTCCAAGGTTGACCCCAGCGGCGACGTCACCATCGACCTCAACCCAGAGCTCGCCGGTGGGACGCGGGGGGTCGGTTCGGGGGTGGTTGTGGGCAGCTGTGGTTGACTCGTGTATGAGACAGGTGTCAGCGTGTGCGGTTGTTCCCTTGTTTGGGCAGTTGTCCCTCATCCCAGCCCACCATCCACCACAACTGGCCCTCTTGCGCCCCACCCCAGGCAAGCACCTGACCTTTGATGTCGAGCTGATGTCACTCATCCAGGCCGCCGGCGCCCAGACGATCGTGTTCGGTGCCGGCTGCTTCTGGGGCCCTCAGCTCCTGTTCGACCGCGTTCCAGGTGCGTGCCGAATCCAGGGGTTGGGCGTACGGCACAGGATCATGACTGCTTCGGCGCCTGTGAATACTACAAGTGTCGGGCGGGCACGTTGTGTGGGAGGGTTGTCCCTCGTTGTGATTGCCTGCGCAGATTTCAGACTGCGTCCGTCGTCCCTGATTGCTAGAAATTTGGAGGATTTCAGGGCAGGGCTCCATTTTGCGCTGCCGTCTCTGGAGCTCTGCATGCGACGTCCTGATATTGTTGCCCCCTTCCAACATGTGGCATGCATGCGGCCCAAGGTGTGATCTCGACCGAGGTGGGGTACAGCCAGGGCAAGGTGCCCAACCCCTCTTACGAGGACGTGTGCAGCGGCACCACCGGCCACACAGAGGTGGTCAAGGTGGTCTACGACCCGGACGCGGTCACTTTTGGGCAGGTGAGTTGAGCGCACCTGGTAACATTTTGTCAGTGTGCGACGCTCCCGCACTCGAATGTGTGATGGTCGAGTTGGTGGATTTGGTGGTGGTGCTGATGTGTGAGTGTGTGTTTGTGCGTGTGTGTGTGTGTGTTTGTTTGTGTTTGTGCGCGCGCGTATGTTTGGGCTATGAGGAGCGCTTGTCTGAGTTTGGCGAGGTTTTGAGCTAGCTTGTACTCCGCGTAGGCGCTCTATCAGACTCACCTTATCTGTTCGATGCAAGGGGCCCCAATTCGCAGGTGTTTGCTTGGGCAGGGCAGCTCATTCATTTAAACCACACTCGTTTGCCCTAGGACGGGAGACCAGGGGGCCTTGTAACAATTTTGATCCCCTCATCGCTGCTGCCCTGCCCCGCAGCTTCTCGACACCTTCTGGGCAAAGCACGACCCCACCTCCAAGGACCGCCAGGGCGCCGACAGCGGCACCCAATACCGGGCCGGCATCTACACCACCACAGAGGAGCAGGCGCAGGAGGCGGCCAGGTGGGGGCGCAGAGGATTGACCGGCCACGGCGCCGCGCCCCTCCGATGCCCGCCGGGGAGGGCGCGGTGAAGGGTGAACCTGTTCCGCGCCTGGGTTCAAGGCCCTCCGAGTGCGCTGATACTTTGTATTCAATTGTGTTGGTTGCGTGTCACTCTGCCTGACCGTCTCCGAAACTGCCGGTGCCGTCCGCGACAGGTACATCGAGGCCAAGCGGGCAGCCATGCCCGGCCTCAAGATCTACACCGAGCTCGAGGTGCGATTCGAGATCCTCAGACGCCTGCTCAACTGCCGCGCCCCCGGCGATGGCAGCGACGCCCTTGCCCTGAACCCGTTGCGGGACGCCCGCAGCGACGCCAACCCGCTTGCATGGCTGGGGGTGGACGTGGGGTCAACTCGCGTTGTCGCCTGCATTCCATAACTGGACCGTGTCATCCCATCGTTTTGTGCAGCCCCAGCTACAGGACAGCTGGTTTTGAATTCGACCCTCCCCGCCCCCTAATCCTGTTTTACTCTCCATTCATCAACACCATGTCACACCTTTCGACACTGCAGCCTCTCAAGGAGTACTCGGCGGCCGAGGTGAGTCATAATGACATCATCCCCCACCCGCGCACCGCCCCCACCACTGCCTGGGGCCCTGGCCTCGCCCATTGCCATCCTTTGCTCATGTAGCCTTGCCGCAGCACTCGCTGTGCCCGTCAATGGGCATCCTGGCGACCCCAGGTCGCCTCCCCCCTTGGCACGCCGCGCTCGCTCCAAAACGCAGCGCCAGCGCCCCCCTCGCCTCGGCTGTTGCGCGCTCCCGACCTCCTCACACACACCGGCCCCTCTCCTGCCCGCCTCAATGTGCTCCTTGTGCCTCGCCCGGTATCCGCCCACCTTGCTTCCTGCAGCCCTACCACCAGAATTACCTGGCTAAGGTGCGGGACCCTGCACGCAGACAGAACCAAATCGGATGGGACGCTGCCTGCTACAAGAGCAAACATTGTCAAAACGATCAAACCAGCAAGGCAGCAACCAACCCACGATTTCAGGCCGTCATTCGCGCCGCGGGCTGGCACCTGTGCGTTGGGGCCCGTTTGCTGAAGCAGAACCCGCGTGCTGCACGCCCCGTTGCACCTCAGCACTCTCTCACGCAGCGATTCGTACGTGCGCGCACCTCACCCCCTCTCCCTTGTGCCCTCGCGATGGCCGCAGGGCGGGCGCTTCGGGCAGCCCCAGAGCCCGGCAAAGGGCTGCAACGACCCCATCCGGTGCTACGGGTGAAGACACTCGCTTTTCGTTGGCCTCCGCAAACAGCCTGCTGCTCTCCAGGGCGGCGGCCGCCCCCTCAGCCTGCTCTCCGCGGGCGGCTCAGCGTGCGCTGGCTGTCAGGCTTCGCTTTTGTAACCAAAAATCACCCCAGCTTTTGGCTGTGCGCGTTGTGGGGTGCCGATGTTCCTATTGCTGCGGTTGTCGGTTAGCCAAGGTTGGTGCAGAAGCAGACAGAGCTGGGGGTCGGGTCAGCATAGAACGGGGAGGAGGGGCCCCAGCCCGTGTCGCATACAAATAATGGACAAACAGGGCCGAGCCAGTGACATTGGCGTCGCTTGAATCTTCGCATAACTGCGCGCCAGCGGCGCTGCGCGCTCGCGTGACTGATGGTGCGGGAGTGACTTGACATGAGGGTGATTGCTGTGCCCTGCACCGAGAAACGCCCGCCACCACGCCGACGCGCTCATCGCGAAGTGCTAATTGGACCGAATCGATGGCCTTCTGAGCACCCTGGTGCCGTACTGACAGACTGAAAGCCGACTGGCCCCACCGCGGGCTGGCAGCTAGGCTGCAGCTGCGGCTGTCACCGTCAGGCGTTGCAGCAGCAACACTGGTTGGCAAGAGCCCAGGAACACGTTCCTGTGGCGCATCTTATTGATATGGTAGATATAACTACGGGCTGGCACCCGCTCCACACATGCGCGACAGCAGTGAGAGTGACCACTGGACCCTTTCTGCAGCTTGGTGGTGTGTCTTCGGCGGTGATCAACCGTCGTGTGGCGTTAAGTACTAATGGCATACATGAACTTAGCAAAAAGTCGGGTGTGGGCTCCCTGGTGCTTGACATTCGCGTGGCTTCTCGCGGGAGCAGCTGGTGGGTGGCAATATTGTGGACGACACGCCTGTTTCGAGTGTATTGCGCAGGGCAGAATCCTGGCCAGGTCAAGCATGAGGCACCCGGGGCGCAGTCGTCGGGCAACAGCGTCGCGCCCAAGCGCATGTCACCCGCAATCGAGCGACTCGCTCCGGCCCCCCCGGTCACGCGGTCAGCCGGCCCTTGATCAGAGCCGCAACGTCCAAGCCGCAGCACAACCCGCTTCGGGAACCTTACCAACGCCATCTCGCGGCGGGCCCGCAACCGACGCTGCACCGCGCCCGCCCCGCGTGCAGCCCAGGGCCTGGTGCCGTCCAAGCCGCGGCTCGGCGCAGACAGCACCTACAAGTCCGCTTACGACCGCTTCCGCCAGCAGTGGCAGGGCTCCAGGAGCTGGCAGTCCGCGTTCAAGTCCGCTCCGCAGCGCGCGTGCAGCCGCGGCGGCGCGTCCACGACGCTGTGCTCGTCGGCGGCAGGCGCCGCCGCCGCGGACGACAAATTTGCGCAGCTGCTGCTCGCCACGTCGCCCGCGAGGTTCTTTTCGGTCCCCATCTACGCGTTCGCCGCCCTGAACGGTTGGAAGCTGCAGGATTACTACGCGCGGCAGAACCCCGTCCTGCTGGCGCCGGGAAACCAGGGATCCTGCCAGACGTGCACAGCGTTCACCGTCGCCGCCGCCGCCGAGGCGGCCGTCGCGGCGACGCTCGACAGGAGCGCGCAGGAGGTCGGGCGGCTGTCTGTGCAGGACCTCGCGTTCTGCTCCGAGGCGGGGCTGCGGCCGTGCAGCTCGGGGTGGACGCTGGAGGGTGCGCTGTCGCGGCTGAAGGACGGGCGGCCGCTGAAGCTGGATCAATGCCTGAAGGTGCGCGGCCGTGTTTGGGCGGCGGTGGGGTGGGGGGGCTCGTGGCCGCGGCACGCGGTGGTGATGAGCGTCCGCAGCTACGGCGGCGGCAGGGCCGGCAATGGCGAGAGAGGCGGACGCCAGCAGGCGCGGGGCAGTGATTGAGGCAGTCCGGGTGGCGGCTGTGAAGAGGGGGGTGGCCCTGGCCCCTCCTCTCGCCAGCCCCATGCCCTTACTTGCGCTTGTGCACAATATAGCTCTGTCCCTCTGTCATGTTATGTCACACACACACACACACACACACACACGCGCGCGCGCGTGCGCGCGCGCACACACACACTCACGCTCACGCGCACACACTCACGCTCACGCTCACGCTCGCACACACACACGCACACTCACACGCACACTTGTAACATGCAATTACGTGTCACCCCTCCACACCCACAACAATTCGCACTTTAACCCCCTCCCTCCTGCCCCCAAACCCCGTCACCCACGCAATCCTCCGCCCTCAGTACCGCCCCGACCTGCGGGGCGATCAGAGCCAGGCATCAGTGTGCAAGGCGACCTGCAACACAACCAGTCAACTGGCGTCAATGGGATCTTTCAGTTACAGGGTGATCCCCAACATGTGGGAGGCGCAGAGGCAGATCAGGAGGTTTGGGGTGGTTATTTCCAGGTGCGCTGTCTCAGGGGGACCCGCTCAAGTGCGACTGTGTGGTACTCTCTCCCTCTCTGTTTGAGCATACGTGTGTGTGAGTCTGTGTGCGTGTGCGTGTGCGTGTGTGTGTGTATGTTGATGTACCTGGGAGTGTTGAGCCGTGCGCGCAGCATGCCGCAGGGCACGGCCGACCGTCCTGGAGACGGGCAGGGAGAACTTGGCTTGGAGGAAGGCGGCTGAACAGGGTGTCATGCCTTGCAGCAATCCGCCCGCCCCGGCCCTCGCCACCTCTACGGGTCCCGCCCCACCTTGACCCGCGTCACGGCCTGCTGATCCCCTTGTCGCCCCGCCATCCTCATCAAAATCGAAACTTGGGCCTCAAGATTCGACATCATGAGGTGAGGCGGCATGCGTGTAGCCGCGCAACGGCGTGCACGGCTCGTGCATCCCTCAGCCGCGGCGCCAGCGTCTGCACCCCGATTGTCTGCGCCGGCGCTCGTGCGCTCCCGTGCGGCGACGAGGGGGCCCGCGGTGTGCACTTTGCTCCCTTGTTTGCTGTTGCTCCCCTTGACATTTGTTCTTTTTGAAGTCGTGTAGTCGCATGTTTGAAGGAACACCTCTTCCAGACTGTGCCGCCGCAGCGACGCCCCGACCCTTGTTTTCCCCCGTCTCTTTCCCCCCTCTCCATTGCAACAACAATCTAATCCCGCCTTGCAGCGACTTCCGAGGCTTTTTCAGCAACCGCGCCAACCGTAACGCCGTGTACCGTCCCTCTCCAAATGCCACGCTCGTCGAGCCCCACGCCATCCTGCTGATCGGCTACGACAACGAAGGTCGGCGCGCACTGCGAGGGAGCGCTGCTTTGTGATGCACGTCGCAGAATTGCCTATGCTTGGTGCTTGGCTGGCAAGAATAGGGGTCGTGCATTTGGTCCTCGCGTCAGCCTAGCAACGGCATGGCTGCCACTTTGCCGAGTTTTGCGGAATAGGCCCAGCCCCGTCCCTTGGACTTCGCCTGGTCAAACGTTGCTTCCCCCTTCCCCTACTGCCGCTGTTGTCGCCCGACATCTCCACAGGGCAGTACTGGAGAGCAAGGTGGGGTTGCACCCTGGGATGGTGCTCGTTGCTCAGGCTGACTTGTACTGTTGCGGCCTCCGACAGATGCCCACACCCAACTTGCCCGCAACCCCTACTTTGGCAACCGGCCCGCTCTCCCCCAAAAAAATTGTACAAGCACGCATGCACACCTGCTGACATGCTATCCCTTCCGACCAGACCAGCTAGTAAAACAGCTTCCCCTGAACCCTGAAATTGCGGACAGGAACTCCTGGGGGCCGTCATTTGCCGACGAGGGCTCCTTCAATGTGGCATATGGGGTCGCAGGGGTGCTGTCCCCAGAAGACAGCTACGGCCTGGAGTGGTGGGTGCAGCGGAGGCAGCCAGGCCCCCCCCACCCCCCGCCTGGCACGCATGCTTGCCGGGAACGCTTGCACATACCGTAGTCCTGTGCGTTCGGGATGCGTTCAACGGGACGTGGCGTGATGGACTACTGCGTTGCTGACGTGCGTCGTGTCTGAGTTTGTCGCTTTCACGTGGCTTTTCACTGTCAGGTCAACGTTTTGGGCCGCCTTGAGTCCAAGCAAACCGCACTGGCAGTCACTCGCACAGCTTCACGCGCTCAACTCGCTCACCAGAGCTTGGGGTTGCATAATTCAAGGCCTCTGATCAGCACCCCTTCCCAACCGACCTGGATACCATAACCGAAGCATCAAGCTTGACTAGTGCCGTTTCTTTCCGCCTCCTCCGCCCGCCCTCCGGCCTCTGCCCCCACGCCCTACAGGCAGCCTAAGCCCGGCGTGCCCGTGCCGCAGCTGCCACTGACGGCCTCCCTCAAGTTCCCAGCCTGCAAGGTGTACAAGGTGCGGGCATGGACCCGCGACCTCGGACCGATCGGAGGTCTGACAGCTCGTCATGCTGACGTCATCGCTCAGCGTCCCGATGCTCCATCAGCAGGGTTTGGTCGCGCGCCGAAGCAGGGCTAAGCGTGCTTCCAAGCATGCCGGCATTTCTGGTGGTGCCAGCAGCCGCGCAGCTCTTGCATTGTCACACTGACAGGAGGAGTTTTTGCGGCCTTCGTGTGGCTTGGGGGTCATTTCTGCATGCGCATCGCCCGAGCGAAACGCAACCAGGGCTCGCATGAGTCCCTGCGGATCGCCCCGCTGACTGGCCCCGCCGCACTCGCTCTGGCGCCCGCACCCGCGCCCGCGCCCGTGCCCGTGCCGCGTCGCCGCGCCCGCGCAGCCTGCGTCCCAGGAGTACATGTCGCGTGTGGCTTGGAGGGCGGGCGTGCCTCTCGAGCGCCTGCTGCTGGACAACCTCGACAAAATCAAGTGGGTTTGGGGCGCCATGGGGGGCCAGGCTGTCCAGCAATACGAGCGGTGCAACGTTTGATAGCTCCAGGCGGGGCTTCCCCAACGGCTCTCCTCTTTTGTTCAGAGATGTCACGCACCTGTCTTGGTGTCTACTCAGATTCCAAAATTTCGAGGGGTACAAACCCCAGCATGGCGCCCGCCTGCTCACCTTCCTGCTGCCCCTCCTTTGCCCTCTTAATTTGCGCCAGGGAGCCGGACGAGAACCTGCAGGGCAAGGAGATCCTGGTCTGCCCCGACAGCGCCCCCCCGACTTCCGCCTTGGCTTCGCCATCGGCCTCCGCCCAGCTCGACGCCCTTCTCGCCATCAAGGATGCCGTCGACAAGAAGGGCGCCGCCCTCCGAAGCTGGGACCCCGCAAAGGGCGCCGGCGGGGCGTTCTGCCGGGCGTTTCTGGGGGTCAAGTGCGACGTGGCGGGCGACGTCGTGGCCATAGGCCTGCGCGGGCTGGCGCTGGGCGGGGCCCTGCCGTCGGGGGCGCTGCTGGGGGAGCTGCCAAAGCTGATAACCTTGGACTGCACGAACGCCGGCCTCACCGGGCCCGTGCCCATCGATTACGGGTCGCTGGCGGCCATCAAGGAGCTGCGCCTCGGGTGAGCGACGCGCCGCCGCCGGCCTGCTCTAAACTCTGCAACTCGCCGCCTCACCCCCCCCCTCTCTGCCTTACCACTGGACAGCGAGCGGGCAGCGGCAGCGGCTGCCAGTGTCCCTGCATTCTTTTGGGAGTGCTGTCTGCGCCTCGTGGGAATGGACGAGCATGCAGCATCCACATCACACCTGCTTCGCTCGGCTCCCCACGCTTGTTACCATGCGTTGGCACTCCCCGGACCCAAGTTCAACTCCCCTTCTTGCTCCCGCCGCCCCGCACTGGCTGCAACCGCAGAGGCAACTCGCTGTCGGGGACCCTGCCCTCCGAGCTGTCCGGAATGGCGTCAGTCGAAGTGCTGAACCTCGCGGGCGGCAACCTGGCCGCCGCGCTGCCCGACAGCTGGGGTGCCCTGACCAAGCTCAAGGCGCTCAACCTGAGGTGAATCCGCCGCGCGTCGCGACGCGGCGGCGCCGGCTGCACGTGTGGTGGGGGCGTCCAGCGGCATAGTGGGGCGCAGCTCGTGCTGGTACCCGTCTTCTCCACACATGTCTCCGCGACGCACCTCCTCAACAATTCCGTCCATCTCCTCCCCGCACCCCTCACGCACACCCTGTATTCCACTGTGCAGTGGCAACGCGCTCACGGGCACCCTCCCTGCCAGCTTTGGAGGCCTGGGCTCCCTGCAGTCTCTGGACCTTCACTCTAACCAGGTAGAGTGTGGATTGCTTGCTGAAGATGCTTCCTGGCCTACCCTAATCTCGTTGTTCCGTTCTGGCGGCTTGCTGAGAGCTTGCTGGCAGCTTGCTGGCAGCTCGCTAGAAGCTGCCTCCAGTGTGCTTGCATTCAATCTGCTGCAAAGTCTGGAAGGCACCCTCGGCTTCGCATGGGGTGGGGTGACCGCCGCACCCAGTACTGTTGGTGCAGCCGGCCACACGGTGACCGTGACCCCCTATGGTTCAGCTGCGGTCGCCAGAGTGGGTTAGCAGCCCCATCCTGCACCTTTCATCACCGATGTCGCCTCTCTCAAGCCCTCCATTCGATGAATGCATGGCAACTGCTCTATTGGATGGCAGGTGGGAGGCCAGCTGCCCGCCGCGTGGGCGGGGCTGGCAGCCAGCCTGCGCGCCCTCAACCTCGACTCGAACACGCTGGACGGCTCGCTGCCAAAGGAGTGGGGAGCGCTGGCCTCCCTGGCGACCTTGAACCTCGCGTGAGTGGCTCCTGCCAGCGCGTCGCCGCCGCACTTTTCGATTGTCGCCGCGCCGCGCCCTCGGCCTCGCTTCGAGCATAGGCCTGGATCGAAAAAGCGAGCATGCATCGCGCCGCCCACGACGCGCCTCGAGCTTTAGGACAACCCTGCTGTAGGACAGCCCTTTGACAAGCCAGCCTGGCCCGGCTGTGACTTTCCCGGCGGAGCCAACCTTGAACCCCTGAGCCCTAAGCCCTAAACCCCTAAATCCACGTGCCTTTCCGCGCAGAGCCAACCAACTTCAGGGCCCTCTGCCACCAGAGTGGTCCGGGCTGGCCAAGCTGACGGCGCTCAACCTCGGATTTAACCAGCTGACGGGGTCCGTGCCGGACGCCTGGGCCAAGCTTTCGTCGCTGAAAGACCTCAACCTCGCGTGAGTGGTCCGAGGTTACCACAATGGGGGGATTTGTCGCGCGACACGCAGCCTGGGCGGCGCCACCCATCAGACAGAGTCCCTGCGTCGCGCGCCCCACCCTCTTTTCAGCCTGCACCCGCGCGCCGCGCATCCGTGGGCGGCGAAGACTCAATTCTGGATGCGGCGGGTCAACAGGCCGCCCGCAGCAATGACAACGCATCATGTACATCCACGGCTCTCCTTGCAATTTTGCTGCCTCCCCCAGGTATAACAAGCTGGGCGGCGCCCTCGGCCCCGCGCTGTCGGCCAAACTCTCCGCGTTGCCAAACCTCATCCTTGTCGGCAACGCATTCAAGGCGCCCGCGCCCAAGGATCGCTCCTCGCGCGCGCCTGGAGGGGCGGCGGTGGCAGCGGCGGGGCCGGCGTACATCCCGGCAAATATTGTGAAGGATTGGAAAGGTGGGTACCTTGCATTATGGGCCGCTGAAACTGGTGGGGCTTGCGGTGTTGCAGGTCTGCCTGCGTTCCTGCGTGTGAATGGGAAGCGCATCGCCTTGTGTGAGGGTGCAGGGCCCCCGCCGTGGGCCTTCTGTCATGGAATTCGGTCGGCCTGCACGTGCGCCACCCCCCGACCCCGACCCTGCCCCTGCCCCTGGCCCCCGCTTGCAGCCTGCCCCGTAAAGTCCCCAAAATCATGGGACCCCGCGGTATTCGTACCAAACCGTGAGCAGCGATTTGTTGACGTCGCCCACTCGATTTGCACAGTGGCGCGTTGCACGGGCTGCGCTCGCGGCGCAACGCGCCTGGGCACAGTGATGGCCGCATCCCATCAGCCGCGGCCTACCCCGCTGCAACCCCTGCGATCAGCGGTCGCCCGGCTCGCGCCCACTTGCGTGCAATCACTGGAGATTCTTCACTCTCATCTCCAACCTCAACTCCGCTACTCTAATGCTCCCTGCAATCCCTGTTGTGCCACATGCCCCAGTTGATACGATGTCTGTCCTGGCGCAGTTTTCAAACCTGCAAGGCAGCTGCTCCATCGTCCCAAGCCTCAACACCTGCGTCCTGCCGGACTCCCCCGCCGCCGACGACTTTGGCCCGCTGCCGGCGGCGGCGTCGTCGGCGGGGGGCGGTGACGCGGACGGGATGACGACACTCGGCACCGTCGACGGCTGCTGCAAGAAGGAGTGCACGGACGTTTTGCTGCAGGTAAGGTCGGGGGTTTTTGTGAGGGCAGGAGCGGGTGGGCAGGATGATGTGAAGTGTCAAGGCGTTTCTGCGGCGGCTGTCGGTGCAGAGGCGGCTTGGGACAACCGCGAGGCCGCTGGACGGCAGCCCAGGATGGCAGCAGTCTTCACAGGGTTACATCAGACGCACATCCAATACCAGCCCGCCGCACCACATGGACAACACCGCATCGATCCGTCTCGTTGCAGGCTATCAAATACCGGTGCTTTGACCGGCTATGGGTGGCCTTCTGCACGGCGTCAAGGGCCTCGTCATTCAGGGCCGGCCTGTGAGTCACGCTGTGCCCTGCATCGGGGCCCTCTGGTTCCTCAGCTGGCTTCCGGGCCGGCGCGCTTGCTGCTTTGTGTGCATGCAGGCGTTGCGCAGACTGGCGTCATCGAGACAGCGCCTGCGTCGGGCTCGTTAAGGCTGGGGGTGTGTGCAGGTGGCGCTCATCAACACAGCGTTTGTTGATGTTGCAAACACTGCACCTCTCACCCAACGCCACTCCGCAGGCTGAACGCGGCCAAGCGGTGCGCAAACTACACCCCAAACCTCCTGTGCTGAGCGGCACTCGGCACGGGCGGGGCTGGTGTGGCAGGTTGAAAGATACTAGGGAATGTGAAAAGAGCTGGCTGCTTCGGAATGCGCAAGGTATCGTATTTGGTAGAGAGGGGCTTGCACGCAGTGCTACCTCTGCTCACCCGATGGTGATGCGGCGGCGCCCGCCTTTCCCACTGCGCTAAATGCTGGATAATAGACCGGACGGTCCCGGCAAGTGATGTTCGCTGCATCCCAATCTCTCACTGCACTACTTGCTGGCTTGATGTGTGGCGTAGCCATCTCAAACCCTGTCTATGCACACCCTCGGTGCGGGGTGCGCTCGCTGCCGTTCAGTTGGGGCGTGTGTGCATGCATGGCTACCCATGCGCACGCTGCACCGCCTGGCTGTGTGCAGGCGTGCTTGCACATGTTTGTTTCACGGGCCAGCATACGGCGGGGAAGGCCCCCCCGTATGCTGGCCGGAAGACTTTCACAACATTGAACTTGCGAGCGACTTGATGGCCGCTGGGGGTAGTTTGCTGAAGTCAGACAGGCTGCCAGGGGCTTACATACCTCATGCACTTCAATTACGCATGGCGTCGTTTCTGGCCCAGCCTTCATCCCACGCTTGGCCCCTGCGCAGTTGGCTGCGCCCTGATCGGCCGCCCTGCGGACGGCTGTCGTGCACTACTGGCTCAGCTTGGTGCTGGGCTTCAACTTTTTTCGCTGCCCTTGCTGCTGCACTGCCTTGATCGCCACAGCCGCTGCGCTGCTGCTCTGTGCCCAGGCTTCTAGCTGCTTGCGTTTTATTCAGACAACGCACAATCGTCAGACGAGCCGCCAGCTCGATGCAGGGATCACCTCACAGAGTCCGTGTTCATCACTGCACAGCTTTCATAAAACTTCTGATCACGTCTTGTACCTGCTGCAATGGCTGGCTGCCCTGTGCATTGCAGACCAACAGGCATCCCTAATGCGTGAGTGACTACGCATCAAGGTGAGGATTGAGGGGCGCGCTTCCCACACCTTGGCTGTTGTGAGGTCACCGGTGAGATGCGCAGCTGCTGCCTTGGTTTGCAGCATCAGGGTGGGTTAACACCACCAAAAACCGCATTTTAAATCAAGGCGCTTCCAAAATCTGCATGTCTGACAAGGATTTGGACGTTGCAAAGGAGGTTGACAAGTGTTCTCGGTTGTGTGGCCCCCGTCAAAGATGTGCAACAGTCAAAGCTGGGATAGGGGCTGCAGCTGCTGGTTTCGTTGGGGCCTGCTGAAGAACTGCAACCTTGAGGTGGCAAGTGGGAGCATGGGTGTCTGGCATGCCTCATGACGCTACTGCACTTGTGCGCATGGATGCGTTGCAACGTCTGCGGCAGAGGCTGACGGGGTGGCGTTTTGCCGCAGAAACCGCCCTGACAGATGCTGACAGAAGGTTTGTCGCTGTTAGCGCAGCCTGCCTACGGGTGCTTAACTGCTCGCATTTTTGTGCATTTGAGCGTAGATGTTATCATTTTTCACGCATTTGTAGCCGTTTCATTCGCCCAGCTTCATTCGTTCTCACGCTCCCATATCTTTGATACCTTGCGCTGATCGCCCACCTCTAGCACCAACAAGCATACTTGACTTGAATCCCAAGCCCGAAGATGCGTTCCCATCACAGCAGCAAGGCCACCATGGTGGTGGCGTTCGCCGCACTGCTGGCGATGTCTGGTGAGCAGGACGGTTTGGTGGCCAGCATGCATCCCGGTCTGCAGCACCAACGACTCTCGATGCCAACAAATGCATATAGCATCTCCAATGGAACACTTTTGGGGCAGGTGGTGGCCCACCTGCGGCAGCCCAGCCGACCCACACCCTCCCAACTCTCACGCGTCCCCTACTGGCCCCCGCCCCCACTGTCCCCCAAACAGCCCTGTCCCCGCTCGCCGAGGCTCGCACGCCCGGCGGCGCCCGCGCCCCGGCCCGCAAGCTGCTCGGCTTCCCGGACGCCTGGTGGAGCGCCCTCGCCGGCGGCCAGGGCAAGGGTGCTTGGCTGTTCCACGCGGCCCCGGCCGCGGCGCCGAGCGGCGGCAGGGCGGCGGCAACCGGCGGCCAAGGCGCCGGGCCCGTCCCTGTCCAGGAGCCGGCTGCCCGGCCGCTGGTGACCATGAACTGGGGCCCCGCGGCCGACGACGGCGTCAAGCCGCTGCGCGCGAGCCAGCAGCTGTGGATGGACAACATCGGGCAGACGCGGTGATTCGGTTTCAGCAATGCCTCATTCACTCCAAGTGTGCGCTGCCAATCAGCGCCGTGTGTGTGAGTGTGTGTCTGACTGTAACGTTATGCCACAACAAATCAAATTGGGCCTCGGGCCAGTTCGGTTTCCCAAGGTTGTTCATTGGGCAGAGGGCTTCAGAGTATGATATTTGTGGATGTGACAAAACAATGAGAGCGCTTGCTGCTTGGAGCCCAGATCTGCCATTGTGTTGCACGGCAACCCAGCAGCCAATGAAAAGCAGCACCATCCGCATGCATCCCTATGTCAGCCATGCAGCCCTTGTGTCGGAGAAGCGTATGGAAGAAGGCCAACATGCAGCCCTTGTGTCGGAGAAGCGTATTGAAGAAGGCCGAGAGCCTCACACACAAGGAAACACCGCACACGCCTCCCACACCTCTTGCCGTCGCCGCGCTCGCCCCCACCGCTCCCACTGCCGCCGCCGCTGCAAGCAACCACGAGACCAACTGCTCCGCCTCGGCGTGCAGACACGTCCGCCTAATCGCGCACCCCACCACCGCCACCTGCAGTGCGGCTGCCTCATCGTTGAGTTTTGGCAGCGTGCTGCAACCCCCCTTTCCCCCCAGCTGCTCGCCCGCGGGCGGGCGGCCTCCCCCCGCCCAGAGCCGCGTAGCCGCTGAGCAGCGGCGCCTCGCCTTGCTGCCTGCCCCGTCACCGACAGACCTTCATCATGGAATCTTTCCTGCCGGCTGCCCCGACGGCACAGCTACTGCCTCCACTACCAAACTCGCCCGATTTGTTGATATGGCGTGTGCCTGGCTACAAGGCGGCACCGCAGGCTGGTGATGCACCCGCTTTGCTCGTGCTGCGCTGCGCTGTCTGGGTGGCCTGCGACTGCCAAATCCAGCCGCTCATGGCATGCAGGCGCGATCGGGCGCAGCCGCCGCCGGGTGAGTGCGTCAGGTAACTTGTGTGATGGGTCTTTAATCGCATAAACAAGGATTACGGCGAGGGATGAGGCGCTTTTCGGGCAAAGCCGATGGAGCATATTGTGTACGGGGGGAGGTGACTAACAGGAAACGCATGGCTGGTGATGTTGTGCGGCAAGGTGGCAGGAGCGGATGGGGAGAAATCAACGCTGACAGGGCGAAAAGGAAAGCAAGGGGGAAAGCTGCTGCGGCGCAAAAACTTGGTCACTGTCTGGGAGGCCGACGCATGCGGCGCACTGCAGCAACACATGATCGCGTTCACAAAGCCACAAAAAATGTACAAGGCGCAATCGGAGCCCAACTCGCAGGCCGCACACGCGCGACCACCGCGCCGAGCAAGCACGACGCACGCGGCCTCGCGGCCGCGGCGCGCGCGGCGGAACCGCGCGCCGTCCGACGCGGCGCGGCCCCCGCGTCGCGCGCCGCCGCCCGCCTCAGCTCGCGCTGTCCCCTGCCGCCGAGCCGCTGGGGGGCTGCTCGTCCCCCATGCACGCGAGGAGCTCCCGCAGCGCCCCAATGATAAGCTTCAGGCCCTTGAGGAGCCCGCGCTTCTGCGCGCGCTGCAGCGCGTGCTGGACTTGGGCGTACGCCGAGCGCATGCTGTTGGCGTCGGCGACGCGGCCGGCCTGCTCGCGGGCGTTGGCGGCGCGCACCATGCGAGACAGGCAGCTGTGCAGGTCCCCCTGGCGCAGCTCTACCGCGACCTGGGGTTTGTGTTTGGAAGTGTACAAGGCGGGGTTTGTCAAAATTATGGGCGAGGCGCACAATTGAGGTCGGACGAGGGAGCAAGTGGGGGAGTGGGCCGACGGCAGGAGCACGGGTGCGGCCCACAGATGGGGTGCACGGGCTCGATGCCAGACGGGGTCCGCCACCCAGCAGCTCAGGTGAGCGAATTTTTGATGTATCTAATCAAATCACCTGCTCTGGCAAGTCTTCCACCAGCTCGGTGATGTTTGCGGGGATCTCGTTGATGCCCCTGTCACCCAGATCATCCAGATCTGGCACATCCCCGTCAGCCGGCGCCGGCGCCGCGGGGGCCGCTTTGGCGACCGGCGGGGCCATGGCCGGCGGCGAGGGCGGTGCGGGTGGCGCTGCAGCTGCCGCCGGGGCCGTGGCAGGTTCGGGCGCTGCAGCTGCCACGGGCGCCACGGCGGCTGCGGGCGCTGCAGCTGCCACGGGTGCCACGGCATGTGCCGGCGCTGAAGCAGCCGCGGGCACTGCGGCAGGTGCTGGCGCGGCAGCTAGCACGGCAGCTGCCAGGGGCGCCGCGGCAGGTGCCGGCGCGGCAGCTGCCAGGGGAGCCACGGCAAGTGCCGGCGCTGGAGCAGCGACGAGCACTGCGGCAGGGGCCGGCGCCGCAGCTGCCATGGGCGCCGCGGCAGGTGCGGGCACAGCTGCCTGCTGGACCGCCACGGTGGGCTGCGGGGGAGCCAACACGTTGGCGCCAGCAGGCGCCTGCAGCTGCGGCTCCTGCTGCGGAGCACCCAAGTCCGAGCGGGCTGGCTCGGGCGCTGATGCTGCTGCCACGGGCTGCTGCTGCCGCTGCTCCTGTTGCTGCTCCTGTTGCTGCTCCTGTTGCTGCTGCTGTTGCTGCTGTTGCTGCTGCTGCTGCTGCTGCTGCTGCTGCTGCGCAGGTGGCTCTGGAGCCCATAGGCTGGGCCTGCCATACCCCAGAGGCTGCAGGGGTGACGCCGCAGGGGACGGCAGCGCCGCCTCGACGGTGACCGGCACTGTTCGCCAAATGTGTGTCTGCTTCAGAACTAGGGACTCGGCAGCTGCCGCCCCGCGCTGCTGCTCCTCCTGCTGCTCCTGCTCCTGCTGCTGCTGCTGCTGCTGCTGCTGGTGCTGCTGCGCCTGGCTCGTCACGGGCACAGGTCCCACTTCACTGGATTTGACCCGTTGCGCCACAGCAGCAGGGGCTTGAGTGAGGGCCGCGCCCGGCGGCGGCTGCAGCGCAGACCCCGCGGCGGCGGCGGGCGGGGCGCTGGGCGCCGCCGACGCCCGGGTCGGCGCCGCCAGCAACAGATTGCGCCAGGTGAGGGGAGCCGCGGGCGCCACAGGCGCAGCGGCCGGACGCGCTGCGGGTTCCGCCGCCGTCGGCGTCGCCGCCGCCGCTGCCCCACTGGCGACCGATGTGGGCGCCTCGAGCGAGCCCTCGGTCACAGATGTGGCCGGCGCCGCCACCCGCGGCGCATGCTCTGCAGGCAGCGAGGCGCGGGCTCCCTCCGGCCATCCTGTGCCCCTCGCGCCCTCGCGGCCGTGCCGCCCGGCTGCGGCCTTGACCGGCTCCCCCGGGAGCCGGGCGCGCGGCGGCGATGGCGGCGCCTCGGCGGCCGGCGGCGCGTCAGGTTCCTCCGGTTCTGACTTGACTATTGTGGCCGGATCCCGGGAGCTTGCCGTCGCCTGAGGGTCCGGCAGCAGCGGTGCCCCGCGCCGCGCGCCCGCGCTCTCCTGCTGCGGCAGCTGCTGCTGCTGCGGCTCCGCCTGCCGCGGCACTTGGCGCTGCTGCGCGCCCTGCGGCGGCGCCGCGGCGGCGGCGGCTGCCTCCTTGCTCTGCAGAGCGAGCCGCACAAGGGGCCGAGCGCGGCTGGCGCCGCCGCCGGCCTCGTGGCAGGCCGCGGCGACGACCCTGCAGCCCACATTAGGGGTCAGCAGCAGGCGGTGCAGCCCTGAAGAGATGAGGCTGTCCGTGCCAGTTGGTGGACGCGGGTTGGGTTGGGCGCGGCAGGGAAAGGTGGAGTGAGGGGGCACGTTGGCGCGGCGCCGTTCGCACAGGTGCACTCAAGGGGTGGTTGGCCGCAAGAGTGTGCCCCCCGCGGCAGCCTGCAACGCCGCCACCCCTCCGCGGCTGCTGGCGGCGCCCGTGGCAGCCCCCCGAGCGGGCCCGCCCCGCCGGCGCCGCCGACCCCGGAGCGCTGCGCGGCGACCCTCCGCGCGGGACCGCGCGCGCGCGGCCACGCACCTGAACGCCCGCGGCGCGCCCGGCGCCTGGCGCGCCTCTGCGAGGGTCGCCTCGACGCCACACCCCAACGCCGCCAGCTCAGCGCCGTCCCGCTCCGCCCGCACCGCGACAAACAGCCCGTCGCGGCCTGCAGCAAGCACGCAGGCCGCAAGGGGGCCGACAGCCGCCTCCGGAAGCTTCACGAAAGATGTTATTGGCCTGATCTCAAACGACAGGCCGAAAAAGACGGCCGCGGCCGCGCCGGCGTCAGGGTCAGGCCCCGGAGGCGGCGGCGCCGGCGGCGGCGAACCGCCCTCTACCGGGCTGCCCCTGTCGCGGCCGCCTTTGCTCCCGCCGTTGCTGCCGCCGCCGCCGCCGCCCCCGCCACTGGCGCCGCAGCTGCCGCCGGCGTCGCCGACGCCGTCGCCGCCGCCGCCGCCGCCGCCGCCGCTGCGCCTGGCGCTCCCGCCGCAGCCTTGGCCGCCTTCCACCCTCCCGCCGCCTGCGCCGCCGTCGGC